ATGTGCTCTCGGTCGGACGGCCCGCGCGCCGCCTCCTGCAGCCCGCGCGCGCGGCTCGTGCAAACGGGAGGACAATGAGCAGCGCGGCATAGCGGCGGCATAGCGGCGGGCCGGCAATCGTATAGCCGCCGGGGACGGGAGGGAGGCCGCGGCGGGCAGAAAAGGAGGACCGGAAGTGGCCCATCAAGAACGGGAGCAGCGCGGCCGGGCCCGGGGGGGTTCAGGCCCGCCCGCCAGGCACTCCGCGGCAGGGAGTTGGCGGCCACGACGACCAGGAGTGAAATGCCCGTCCGCACCACGCCTGCTCGACTCGCTGGCTGCCGAACATAGCTAACTTTTTAACTACGTGAATTTTTAGCTATATCAGTTTTAGGTAAGCACATCTCAGCTTCATCAACTTTCAGATACATCAATTTATAGCTACACCAATTTTTAACTACATCAATTTTTAGTTACATCAATGTTAAGCTACATCGATTGTTAGCTACATCAATTTTCAGCTACATCATAGTTTTTGGCTAAATTAATTTTTAGCTAGATCAATTTTTAGCTACATCAATTTTTAGCTACATCAACTTTTACCTACATAGCTAAAAGTTGCAGAAAGTTACACTACAGTAAGTCCAGGACGGTTTTCTACCTGACGTCTTCTGCCCCAGATCATTTCTCAGGAAGGCAGCAGCAGAACGCTTTATGCCGCGAGCAACGCGCGACAAGGGCGAACTACCCCCCCCCCTCTCTCTCTCTTCCGCGACGCCCTCTCCATCCTCCTCTGGAATAATGAGCAACAGACAAACACAATGCCCCGGTCTTGCGGCTGCTGCCTCGGCTGCTCTCGGCATGAGCGCAAGAAGGACTTGCCAGCTGTATTGACAATAATTGCACGCGCCTGGAGGAAAAAAACTACAACAAATACATGTGGAGGTTGTTTTCTTAGTTGCCTTTTTTGTCAAAGTACCCCGTCAAGTGCGATATGTGGTGGCTGGGTTATGAACAATTTAACTTAATACGTAGGTGAGAGGAGACAGGTAATCTAAGTCATTTGCCATAAAAAAGGGAATTTTTGAACAACGCAACCATCACAAAATTAATCATCCACTCAAAATATCAATCCCCTTTAATAACACTGTAGAAAATAGCCGTGGGTTTTCAGAAAAAAATTCTATGAAGTGTGTTGTAAAAAAATTGAAATTAAAATTTACAGGCACTCCTAATTGACTGCTCGGAATTGATCGCCAAGTAAAACTGAGCTGTTGAGATATTTTGTAAACAAAAGAAGTTCCAACAAACAAATGTAAATTTACTATTACGCAATACTTCTCACATGGAAAAAAAGAAAAATCACATTTACTCGTCACTGCGATGTTGTAAATAGATGAGACTCGGCAAAGGGTGTCACAGCAGCAGCAGATGGGACCAGATGCTGCGAATAACGGAACGCACATTTGCGAACAACCCCGCGCGCGTTTGATACTGTCCCGCTCCACTCGAGTTTGTCATCATGTTGATGGACCCCATGGCAAAGTGGTGGTGGTGTGCTCGGGTGTGGCGGGGTGTTGGCGTGGCGGGGCGGGGCGGGGCGCGGCAGGGCGGGGCGGGGCGCGGTGTGGTTCGCCCGGCCGGCCCGCGGGGTGTCATGTCTGGCCTCATTATTTTAGTGTACTGTACACAACTCGCTCCCCGCAGGGCGTGGCGTGGTGCCGTTGTGATGTTGCGGCGACCCGGCTGCTGCTGCTGCCGCGCCTCACCCCACCCCGCCCCACCCCACCACGCCCCTGACAGCCACCTCTCAAGTGGTGTATGCGCTACTGTGCTTTATATACCCCCGAGGGGTTGTGGACGAGCAAAGAGCTTCA